CTGCAGCCCAGCACGATGGTGATGGCACAAGTCTGTAATCCCAGCACTCTGGGAGGCTGAGGCAGGAGGATCACAGGTACAAGTCCAGCCTGGCTAACTTAGCAACTACACAAGACCAGGCTTTTAAAAAAACAACAAAAAAGCCTAGGGATGTAGTACAGTACAAGGGCCCTGGGTTCAATCCCCAGCACCCCCTCAAAAGTATACAAAAAAATCCCTCAAACAACAACAGAACAAACCCACCTCTGTACTGAGCATGCATGGACGCTGTCCCTGTCGTGTTCCCCTCCACAAAGCAGTGTAACCGTTGTTCACACCCGTGTAGGAGGTACTGTAAGCCGTCTAAGATGATGTAAAGCACAGAGAGGACTGCCCAGATCATATACACACACAGCACCATTTTATATGAGGAACTGAGCATCCCTGGGTCTGGGAATCTGCCAGGGTCCTGCACCCTCCCCTGCCAGGACTGAGGGGCGGCTGCACCTTGGTGAGTTTCAGACCAGAGACGTGTGTTTAGGTTCACTTCGCTCACTCGTCACTCTGGGCTGTGAGGTCACTGTCGAATCACGAAGAGGAACGAAATCAGGATCTTCGAGCAGAGAAGGCCCACGCTGAGTGGCGGGGGAGCGGGGTGGCCGGAGCGTTCCGGGCGGCCAGTTCCATAGTCACAACCTCAGTGTTCACCGTGACTCCCCAGGACGCGGTACTGAGAGTGGCGGAAGTTTCCCCGAACGTGTCTGCGGCTCACGTCACCATCTCTGAACCAGCGTGCACCCCGAGGCCAGGGAAGGGGGTCCCCCTGTACGGGGTCCCACTTCGTGAGAAGGGAGGTGTCCGGCCAAAGGGCCTCACCGGGAGAGCAGGGACAGTCTCACCTGGAACCCTGTGTGTGCCTCTGTTTCCCCACTGGCCTCAGAGAAAGACGGTGGGGCGGAAGGCCAAGGTGAGGGCGGGTTCCCCAGCGCTGAAGCGGGGCGCAGCCTGAACTCTCACGGCCTCACTGCCTCCTCTCTGCTGCCTTCCAGCTGGCCCAGGACCCCGCTCGTCTCTTCTGAGCCATTACTGCAGCATCTCACCCAGCTGCTCACATGCCAAGCACCCCAACGACAAGCTCACTCTTCAAGTAATGGTTGTCAGTCTTGGTGGGTAGTAAAAATAATGTACGCAGACTACAGAAAATGTGGACTGTGAAAATTATCTTTAAAAAAGAAAATGACAGCCACCAGCGCCACCTCCTCCAGGCCCCGGAGTCCGGCTATTTTTATGCCTCTTCTCAGTCCAGGGCGCACACCGTGACACACAGCATGCAGCAACAAGATCAGGACGTGAATTCCCACCCTGCTCTAGCCACACGGAATTCGGTGAGCGCTTTTCCGGGTCATTAAATATTCTCCTAAAATGTCCCATTTTCTTTTTATCTATATCGCATTGGCCTTGAAGGGACAAGGGAGTGAACATTTATTCCTCTTACTGCTACTTAGGATTTTTTTTGGGTGTTAGCCATGCTAAAACATTTTTAATGAAAAAGTTTTTATAGCGCTTTGTACTTTTTGAGCCATAGGATGCGTTATGCTTTGGAACTCAGCCCAGGGAGCCGGCAGCATCAGACGTGAGCTCTCTCTTAGAGATGAGGAAGCCAAGAACCAGAAAGGTGGTGACTCTCCCGGAGCGGCCCAGCGGGCACAGGTGGCCCATGCTGCAGAGGCAGAAGTTCCCTCTCCGGGGGACACTTTTGCAAACCAAAGCCACGAGCCTTGTTTGCGTTGGATTTTATTTCTGTAAACAGAAAGTGCTTGGATTCGCTGCTGTCTCCCATCTGCCTTCCTGTGTTGAGACTGTCCCCAGGGCCCACCGAGGCAGCTTAGGGGAGTGGACAGGAGTCCTGGATGTCACTGAGTGCTGCTGGGTCACCCACGTCAGGACAGATGCCTCCCCTGCACTCAGTCTGGGGGGTGGGGTCGCCGGGGGGCAGAGGCGTGGGGAGGGTCAGGGCCAATCTCCAGGCCACGAGAGAGGACTTGGCTACCCCTGGGCCCTCACACATGATCATCTCCTACAGACCAGGTGTGCCCAGTGCTACTGGTGGGCTTACCTGGCCGGGGGAGCTGACGAACCCCCTGTGTCCTGGGTTTTGCTGGTGGAGGAAGAGTTTACCACGTTCTTGCTGGCTTAAAGCACCAGTGGCGCATGTGTGACCGTCAGCATGGGTAGCCCCACTGGGTAGTACAAGCCACTCCATGAGACAGTCATGCAGGTAGGGCCCTGACATGCATGTGTTAAAGGAAGCCTCCTTCAGCCCTAGAATTGCTCTGTGACTTGTGTGGTTCTAAAACTGTGAGCCAAGTAAACCTCTTTTCTTTTTAAAGTATTCCGCCTCAGCTATGTTATTGTAGTTTTGGAAAACGGATGTACACGTATCCCTAGCTTCTGATCACCATACCTTGCGTGTAATCTTTTCCCTCATAGTCCAAAGTAACTGCTGAGTCTCCGTCTATCACATCTACCTGCCTTGTTCTCTGCACACTTGTTATTCCAAACCATTGTGAGGAACGAGGCTGCCTAGAGAAGAAGTTACTGTCCTACTAACACACTCATGGCTGGACTGAACCTATATGGATTAGCTCCTAATGGAATAGTCCTGCTTCATACCAGCTGCCTGTCGAGATTTAAATGGGTGAGTGTATTTCCGAATGCTGGGTGTTACAAGCACCAGACGATGCTGTACCAATTACAAAGTGAAAGTGGACACACTGCCAAAGATACAGGACTTCACGAAATTGATGGTTTTAAAAACCACTCAGTTCCCCCCTAAAGCCTCTGGCAAGCGTTCGACAAGCTAGCAGAATCGGTCCAATTAAAAATTAAAGAAGGAAGTCCAGCCAGGATTACATAGCAAGACCCTGTCTCAAAAAACCAAACAAAAACATGAAAGCAGTGACATTTAATAGAGATAATGACACCATTAACTGCTTCAAACAAGAACCTCAGAAGGTTGAGGGCACCCTTACTAAAATCAACCCAGCCTTGAAATAATTCACTTTATAATATGATTTAAAAGTTTAAAAACAATTTTTTTCCGGTACTGTGGATTGAGCTTCACATATGCTCAATCTCTGAGCTACATCCAAGCCTTTAAAAATTTTTAAAAGACAGAGTATTGCTCAATGGCCCAGGCTGGTCTTGAACTTGCGATTCTCCTACCTCCCCCTCACTCCAAAAAATCAAATCTTAAGTAAAGGATGTTTATGTTGTGCTATTGAAAATCTTGTAATAAAAAGTCTCCAAAAAAAAAAAATGATCTGCACACGCTGAATTTATTTATCCTGTATTTACTCTAAGAATTTAGTACATGACTTTTAATTATAACTTAAAATCTAAATGGTTTTCTTAATTTTGAGTTGCGAGTTTCAGAATAAAGCATAACATTTGCCGTTGCTGTTACTTGCTATGACATTCAGGTTCAGGTTTTAAGCATAGTCTCCTTAGAGGCCATCTTTTAGTATCTGTTTCTTAAGTGTCAAGAATCTCTAGGACATTCTAGTTCATGCATCAAAAATGTGGAATCCACATGCTTCCAGGCTGTGTCCAGCCTGGGGCACTGTGGCTACTGTCATGTGTTTAGCATTATGAGTTTGTTTTTAACATGATCTTGCTATGTAGTCCAGGCTGGCCTCATCTCAAACTTGTGATCTTCCCGCCTCAGCGTCCTGACTGCTGAGATTACAGGTATGCACCACCACACCTGGCCTTGGAATATGAATCTGAATAATGCCAATGCACCTATGCAAATGTCATCTCTTCTCTACTCTTCCAGAGGCCACTGCTGGGGAGGTGGAGGGTCACCTGTGAGCTAGGTGGCCACTGCGGGCGGCCATCACCCTTACCTGTTTTGTGGGTGAACTTCAGAGGGAGGCATGGGGTGTGAGCACCCGATTCAGCGCTCTTCCAGGGTGCTCAGTCTTCCTGCCCGGAGCAAGGGACTGGCAGTGTGGAGCGGAAGTGAGGCGCGCACTGTGGAGAGGAGGGGTGAGAGGAGAGAGAGGACGCCTCCCTCGGCCATAGCAGCCAGAGCAGGCTTTGCCTGCTATGCCCCTGGGGTGTGGGCTGACTTTTCTGCCACATTACCTGGGTCAAGGGTTCCGTGTTTGCCAAGCAGGACTCACAGGCCGTCCTGCAGGAAAGGAGCGCGCTCACCGGCCAGGGGTATAACTCATGCACCTACGCTTTGCCTTGCAAAACCTCGGGAAGACAGCAGGCATTGTAGCCGGTGTGCGAGCGGTGAAGAGGCTGGAATGAGCTGCCCTGACCACGCAGGAGGTGACAGTGGCCTGGGGCAGGGCCTCTGAGCTGAGTGTGGGTGCTGAGAGGCGGCAGGGCGTGCGCAGTGCCCCCGCGCGGCAGCCAGGCGGGGCCAGCCAGAGGGTCAGAGGCTGGGACCCAGGAAGTGGGGGTAGGTCAGGCTCCGTCTCGGGGCGCCCACCCAGCTGCTCCCATCCGACCAGGTGGCCTCTAGGAGCAGACAGGAAGTGGGGTCTCTTCCGGATGCCCGCCAGCTCCGCTGGGCGAGCGGGGTCATGGTGCTGCAGGGAGCTCCAGTTTTAGCAAGGGACACCTGGCCCAGCTTAGCACAGGTGTGGCAGATCCGCGGCTGTAACCGATTAGGGTCCTAAAGGCAAGAATTAGCGAGCACCGGCCCTTCCAGCTGGGGGCAAGAAGCCCCAGGCCCGGATGCTCGCGTGTCAAGAGTCCTGCCAGAAGCGACGCGGGAAGCTCCGGGCCTGCTCCCTGCAGCCCCAAGCCCCGCTTAGGAAAAGCGCGTGCGCCCTCTGGTGGCCTCCGCGCGCAGGGCTCGGAATCCCCGGGATCCGTGGGCAGAGGGTGCCAGCCCCGCCACCCAGGCTGGGGAGCGCCACCCCTGATTGCACCAATCGCCAGCCACCAGCCCCTCCACGCCCTCACAAAGGTGAGCTTGTCCCTCTGACACACCGCCAGCTTGGCCCTTCTGAATGTGGGTCATTTCCCCGATATCATCAGGACAGAAACTGAACCCACAGGTCTCTCTTCCAGACTGGGCTTCCGGCCGCTGGGCGCGGGGGCCCCCTGAGGGTTACCCCTGGGGAACAGCTGCATCGGTGATGGTTGCATTCTCTCTTCCTTTAATTTGTTTAAACAACTTCCACCGAGACTGCTTAACCTGGGGATGGAAGAGCCCGAGGAGAAGTGCGGACCCCTGACATCGGGCCCCTGTGAGGTGTGTATTTCTATGACTGTTTATTCTTTCACAAAGTTCCGGGACGGTGGAGAGGAACTGATTAGAGAATGTTCCTCCCCAACCTTGTCTGAGCGCTAACTGACTTGTGACGCTCTTAGATTTTGCATAAATCAGCTTTTGTTTAGCTCTGGGACCATCTTGGCTCTGACACCTAATCAGGGCCTCTCAGAAGGTGGAGGGAGGCCAAAGTCACCTCTATCTTTAAAAAAATTTAAGAGTCAAAGGAGCTGGAACAATTGTAGTAAATGTTTGTGTCTAATAAAGTAATACTTAGGGTGATGCTGAGGATGTAGGTCGGTGGTAGAGCACTTTCGTAACATACTTGAGGCCTTGGGTTCCCTCCCAGGCGCTGCAAAAAGAAGGGGGCGGGGAGGGGGGAGGGCACATGGCCGCTTCTGCCTCTGAGAATCAGGTTTCTCTGGTGGCAGCCCCAAGTTCAAGGCCAGCTCTGGGGAGGGAGGACAAGGACATTCTCTCTCCCCTGTCCGCTTCTGTAGGTCTGGCCTGAGCGCTGGCTCAAGGTTAAACCTCAAGCACCCAAACCCACTCTCACAGGAATGCATCAAAGCGCCTTCCAGAGAGCAGAAAAAGTGATTTGGAATTTCCAGCGGTTTGGGGACAATGGGAAGAGCTGGGGCTATGGATTTGCTGCCTATTCCTGCAGCTTTAGGTTGTGTGACAAATGGGGCCCTGGAGGCTGCTTTCCTGTAGCTGCGGGAGTCAGCGACGTTGGCTTGGGCGACCTCCAGTGTGGCTGCCACCCGCAAAGGCACCTGGGAGTGAGCAGACTTTCCTGAAGGTGGGGCTCGGCGGCCAGCACACAACTTCCGGTGCAACACTGGTTCTCCAGGCCCCTCTGTGTTGTTAGCTCATCGGGCCCTGGTCTCCATCTCCTCCCGCTCCCCTCCCCTCTCTTCCCCTCCTCCCTTTTTGCAGCTTTCCTGCTCTTCCCGGGTCCTCTTTATTTCTAGCACAGAGTGATTCAGCCCTCAGGAACAGCTGTGCAAACACAACCCCGGATGGCAACACTGACGTCACAGTCTACAGCAGAGGGCCACAAGCTGTAGTCCACTGCCGACCTGGCCCACAGCTTGTTCTGTAAATAAAGTTTTATTACAACGCAGCCCGCCCATGCATTCACTGTGTGTGGCTCTTTTCCCTATCAACGCCCGAGTGGGATCCCTGTGACGGGAACCGGATGGTCCCTAGCCCAAAATATTCTCTGTACCTCTACATCTGACATTTTTACAAAGTGCTTGGACCGCATGGGGAGCTAGGCAAGGCCATTCCCTGTGTCCCCTCTGGGAACATTAAGTCTCACCTGTCAAACTAATTGACCTCCTCCATGACCGGATGTTGGCCTGGTGTGGGGGGGCGGGGCAGAGATGCCTGAAATTTCTGTGTCCTCTCACAGGCTCCAGCTCAAGCAGGTGACACCATCTAGGATGGCCGGAGAGAGGACAAGGCCATCCTGGGCCGGTGTCCTGCAGGCTCCTGGGAAGCTGGGCTTGGGCGGGTTCCTGCAGAGCAGGGTGGAGGGACCTGCATCTCTCCCGCTCCCTTCCCACCTCTGAGCACCCGGAAGCACCTGGGCCCGGAACCACCCAACGTCCCCTCTGCTCACAAAAAGCTACAAACTGTGTGAAATTGTCCCACTTTTGGTAAACATTAGCACCAGTTACCCAACTATTATGCAGACTTTCGCAGCTCATGGGCTGGCAGTTTGTGGCTTTGGGGCACAAGGTTACTACTGACAATCTTATAGCTTAAAATTCCTGAGTCTGATACAACCCCTGTGGAGGCCAAAATCACCTGTGCACAATCCTGGAGGGGCCCAGTCCCTCCCATCTTGTGTACTCCCTGGAGAAACTCCCGCTCCGGTGCACAGAGCAGTGTGCAAGGAGACACACGTGTGCGACAGAAGCATGGGAAACGCTCACAGCGCTCAGTAACAGGAGGCGCAGAGCCGCCCGCGACATACGTGCGGCGCACACCACAGCCACGTCCCTGAACACGGCCGCTGTAGAACGAGAAGCACATAGCACCCAGTTACAGAAGGTTTTAGCATGAAAAGCAGCAGTGATCACTGTCGAGGTGTACCTGCCTGCGTTCTGCATGTGGAGAGGTGACAATGGCAGGGACAAGCAGCAGGTTAAGGGTGGTGGCACCCTGGGGTGGAGGGAGCGGCACCGGGTCAGGAGTTTATTCAGGGGCTCCCATCCCACCCATCACACTGTCTCCTAAGAAAGCAGCAAGGCACCGGAGCTCTCTGAGGGACTGGGGTAGCTGTGCTGATCTCTCCCCACCCCCTCTTTTCTTCCTTTTTTTCCCCCTCCAGTCTTGGAGATTGAACCCAAGGCCTCACAGATGCTGAGCAAGTACTGGACCCCTGGCCTTTATTTGTTGGCTTGCTTGTTTAATTTTGAGACAGACTCTCATAAGTTGCCCTGCCTGGCCTCGAACCCTTGATCCTCCTGCCTCGGCCTGGAAAGTAGCTGGGATTACAGGTGTGCGCCGCCCTGCTCAGCTAGACTGGTTTCTTAATCTGGCTGCTGGCTTTCCTTTGTGAGCAGCTGCTGAGCCAGCCGTGTATGGTATGTGCGTTTCTCTACACGTGTGCATTTTTTCTCAATAAAAGCATATTGAGTAACTTAAGTCGCAAAGCAGATTTAGCCAGAGCTGGGCAGCAAGAGGCCTGCTTTGCTGGAAAGTGCATTATTCTCTCTTCTTTTTTTTGTGGGCTTGAAATACCTCACGATGGGACTCCTGGACCTCACGGTGCTTGGCAGGGCCCTGGCTGCCTGGCGACCGGGCTGGTCGCTGGAGGGCAGCTCCAGGCTTTGCAGTAAGAGCCGGCCTCGGACCAAGGAGGAGGTGCTGCCTGGAGCTTTCACAGCACCTTTTTGAGCCTCGGTTTCTTTCTCTGTCAGATGCGGACATCACACAGGCTGCCCTGTGAGGACTCTCAGACCCTTGGCTGCGGGGGCGGCCAGGACGTGGACTGGAGACGGCCATTCCCTGGCCGGACCCAGACCATGTCGGGAAGCAAAACGCCCCCAAGCAAGCTGTGGAGTAGCCGTTCCCAGCCAGGTGTGACTCTGTCCCCAGCGGTCACTTGCCCGTGTCTGGAGGTGGCGCTGGTTAGGGTAGTTCAGGAGGTGCTACTGGCATCCAGGGGGCGGAGCCTGGGGACCCGGCCAGAGTGGCAGTGCTCGGGACATCCCGCCCCAGTGGAGCCCCCGAGCTCAGTGTCCACCGCGCCCTGGCCTGCAGTGCAGGGGACACTGCCCATGGGCGCTGTCCACCGAGAGCCACCTGTCTGCCCCGTTGCCCGTGGGAGGCAGGGGAGAGGCACCCGCTCGGCCTGGGGGTCTGGTGCTGTGGGTCCGGAGCCGATCCTGGGCCCTCTGGGGCTGTTCAGAGCATGCTCTGGCGCTGGCTTCCTCTGTCTCAACTACTGATTTCACAAACTTGGCCCCGGCGCCACTCGCTGCAGAGCCCTCCTGGCCCCGTGTCTACACCCGCGTGCGCACTGGCAAACCCGAAGCGGGAGCTCTCACTCCGGGCTGTGGCTGGACTCCTCTCCCACTGCTGCCTTCACAAGGCCCGGGCCCCGGGAATTTAAGACAACACCCTGGAACTCGGTGCCTATGGCCAGGAGCCGGGCCGAGTCCCAGCTTGGGGTTTCACGGGCTGATGTGAGTGCCGGCAGTGGACCCGTCTGCGGGCTCGGAGAGGGAGGCAGGAGCCACCTCGGAGCTCCTCAGGCCGTGGGCAGAACCTGCTCCTGGTGACCTTGGGTCCTGGTTTCCGGGCGGGCGGGTGGTGTGGTCTTCAGCTGAGCCACGTGCCCTGCGGGTGGGAACGAGGGAGAGGAGAGCACGGTGGATGCTGGGAGCAGCCCCCTCTGCCCGCCGCCAGGGCCTGCCAGCGGGGCCTGGGGACGGACACAGGCTTTCCCTGCCGCACTGTGGCCAGAGCGGCCCTGCCCTTCCGCAGCCGCACAGCGGGGGAGGACGGCGAGGAGGGCGGGGAGGGCGGAGCGAGCGCCCGGCTGCTCGGATGTGCATGCACAGCCTAATCGGGCAGATGTTCACCCCATCCGAAAGTGCGCTGGGGTCACAGCGGGGAGAAGCTCTGCCCCGTGAGGTGACATCGTTCCCAGCAGGGACTGGTGACAGACTGCCTTTCCGAGGACGGCCTCGCCGACTTCCTCTGTCCTCTGGGCTCTTACAAGGTGACACCAAGGGCTCCCCACGAAGACGCGGCTCTGTGTCCCCTCCCTGGGACACGGTCCCGTCTTACTAACTCGTCCAGAACGTGGCAGACGTGAGGCGTGTGACTTCCCAGCTTGGCCGGGTAGCTGCTGTCTGGCGTGTCTCTCATGGGTCCTGCACCGCGGAGCCCCGGCACGGGCCGTAGGGAGCTGTGCGACACCCCCATGGGGAGGCGCTGTCGAGCTGCAGCGGGCCTGTGTTCCCGCCCGCCCTGAGGATGCACCAGCCTTCCTTGCCGTGGTTCCAGCCCCGGCCTCCGCCCGAGGCCCCAGACATCCTGGCGCAGAAACAAGCTGTCCCCACCGCGGCCCGTCCAACCTCCCGCCCCAGAGAACCCGAGAGCCGAAGAACGGTCGCTTCATGCTTCTGGTATTTGGGGTAATGTGTTACGCAGCCACAGTAACCAGAGCAGCCCTCAGGGGAAGTGACATTTAAGCTGTGCCCTCAAAGACGATGAGGCATCAGCCGGGCAAGGAACATGGGCGGGGAGAACATTCCAGGCGGAGGGCACAGCTCAGGCAAAGGCCCTGGGGCAGCGTGGGGGCAAGGTGAAGCTAGGAGCAGCTGCAGGCCGGAGGGGAGGGCAATCACAGGCTGAGGGCTGGGTGGTGGCGAGGCCCAAGGGCTTGAGCTCCAGTGTCTCCTCAGCCTCGAGGCGGGGAGGAAGGGAAGCAGTGAGACCTGAATGTGTTTCTAAGGTCTGGCTGGGCACAGGGAGGAGGTGTGACAGCAGAGTGGAACTTTGCGTGCAAGGTATACAAAATTTAACTCGCAGCAACAGGGGTGAAGAATCTGTCCTGCTTTGCTCTGCGGCCAACACGAGTCAAAGTCCTGCTCCTCCCTGAGGCCCCAGCGCCCCCCGGTTCTGCCTTCAGCTCCCCTGGCCCGGTTCTCACGCCCGCGCTGGAGGCACCAGTTCTCCCTGGGGCAGATCCAGTCGCAGAGCCCCTGGGACACTTGCTGGCTATGAGGTGCTGAATGTCCGTTGTCTCCTGTGACCGGGGCAGTGAGATCCTGTGGTCAGCCAGCTCTGCTCACCTGCTCCTTCAGGGATCCAGGGGTTGAGTCCAGTGCCACATGGGCCACATGGTCTGAGGGGCGGGGGGTCCACAGGGGGAATCAATACACTGGTATCAGAGGAGAGAAGGGGGCACCATGGGCAAAAGTGACCAAGGCCATCATAGTCAGTAATACTTTAGTGAGAAATAGCATATAGAATACACAGTCCAGGGAAGAGGTAGAACAGGGAGCCAACAGGATAAGAGCCTAGAGTTCTGAAGGGAGAAAGGACTCGGACAGGTAGGAGGGGCTTGAAGGCTCCGGAGAGTTGATTGATGTGCAGGAGGCACAGCTGCAGGTCAGTGGTGAAACCCCTAAGAGCTTGGCATGTTTGGTCCCACGGGCACACGCAAAAGGTAAACGCTGCTGTCTCCCTGTCTCAGGAGGAAAGAAGCCGAGCCTCAGGTGCACAAGAAATCTGCACAGCAATGCCCACATTGAAAGGGGCAGAGGCAGGATTCGAACTCAGGTCTCTGGTTCCATGGCCAGGTTCAGATCTGCTAAGATTAGTGGCTTCCGTTCCAAGCCTTTGAGTCAGGAGTCTAGGCTGGCTGGGACACCAGGGTCCTTGTTAAGGGTTCTCCTGCCTTGGGAAATGGAGGCACCAAAGAAAGAGGCTTGACGGTCTGTCTTCAGGCTGTGCCTCAGAGCTCTGAGCCCATACTGGAAAGCCATGCCGCGTTCCCAGGTCCGGGCTGGTTCTGCATGTGCACTGGTGTGCAAGCATGCGTGTGTGTGCACGCACCTGCGTGTGCCCGCGTGTGCAGAGCAGCACTGCCATGCTGTT